TTTAAACAAAAACGAGGCACGAAACGTAATCACAGCAGGTACAGATATGAGTGCGAACTAACAAGTGCCCCAGTTGTTACTTCGCTGCGTTCGAAAAGCACACTCTTTTCGCAAACGGCGCCTGTCCAGCGAACACGAAGCGGTCTTAGTGCGCCCGGCAACTAAACGCAATCGCTCCGGTCACAGTCGGAGGCGCGCGCGCACAAGCATCTATCCCCCCCCCCCCCCCCCCCCGCCAATCGCGGGGCAAAGTAAAGACGCGTGGGAGATAAGCGCGCGTCGTGACGGAATAGGCGCCGAGCGAGGGCGGCCTTTTTTCTTTTTCTTTTAGATGCGAAAGCTCCAGAAATTTCAACCACCTGGCGTTTCGACTATCTGGCTTTGACGCGCACGGACATCGGACAGTACACGGGCCTCTACCATATTTCGGCTCCATCGAAATGCTACCGCCTTAGATCCACCGCGGCGAAACACGGCCCAGAGGAAAGACAGAGGGATGGTCCTCTCACGCAAAGTGTTACTTTTGTGCTCGGCAAACTTCGTCGTATCGGAAGTGCGGAACGAAATTGTACTTCGCTAAAAATCGACGGGAAAACGCATTCGTTTCAAATGAAGCAAGAAGCACAAACGATAACGTTTTTAACGTTAGGGAGCTTTAGAATATCGTTTGCAAGCGCTGCGGGCGTAGCGACACCATAGCCGCGAAAGCAGCGCTCGCGGGCCGCGATCGCCGACTCGAGTTACGACGCATGCGCAGTGGTAGCGACTGCACCGCAAAGGCTCGCGGTGCGCTATTCTAAAACTCCCTATTACGAACTTCATTTTATTGCCGCCCGAGTGCAAATTGCTGACATGCCATATGAGATTGGAGACGAGGGGAAATCAGATTTCGCAGGCGCGGCTTTGGAAACCTTTCATCATGGAACGTGTATCAATCCGTTTTGAAAGTTTTATCTTTATAATAACAAACCAAAAGGTTATATTAGCAACATCTCTGTTTGCCAAAGCTGTTCATTTCTTAGAGCTTAAAGCCTCTTTAGAATGAATGCCTCAGATGCCTCCATCAAGCTCGAAAGTTGACTATGGGCGGCAATGGCAGCCCACAGTCAACGAGTGATGCAAAAAAGCATCATCATCACACAACGCCATTGCCTTGTCTAAGGGATCCAATCATGGAGGCAGTGCAAAAAGCTCGTAATGCCATCCACCCCCCCCCCCCCCCCCACCCATCTCGGAGGCAGAACCGAACTACAATAGGTGCAGAGAGTTTTGGGAGTTCGGTGGGCAAAGATCCATACATTGGCTTAGAAGCGAAAAATCGCTTTTACCTTTGAGTTGTCTTAGGCAAAGGCATCAGTGACTTACCCTGCGAGTGTTATTCATCTTGTTTGACTAAAAAGCATGCCATTGAGTGATCATATTGATGGCAGAATTTGAATGTACACACAATTATCTTAAATTATGGTCAAAAGTTATTCTAATGAAGCCACATCGGAGAAAAAAATATTTCTTTAATACCTCGTGCTTGTTACAAATGGAAAATTGTTGCACTGCAACATCAGCAACACAGCTTATAAATGACTTCTGCCTATCAAATAATTCTAATGATTTTGTGTTTCTTGGAATGAGGTCCGTCTGCAGAGTGTCAAGTTATGCTTTTCGAATGACGAACACCCAGAGGAATGAAGCAGTAAACGCGATGGCAATCAGATAGAATTTCACACAAAGTGAGGCTAGCAGCTAAGCATCAGACTTGACTTAACTCAACAACACACTGTCGTAAGGAGACACGGCCATTGCAGTGAGCAAAGCATCTTTGCACTGTCTATGAATTCACAAAAACTGAGTGGTGAGAACAGAGCACCACAAACCAGGTATGGGCCGTCTGCTGATCCCTGTCAATATGTGGTGTGTGCAACCACACTCAGCTAAAGTACGCAATACCTTCGAGACGTGCGCATCACCCCCATTAAAAGGTGTAAATGAAGATCTCGCCGTTTGTAAACTGGGGATTGAGTGCGTTTGAGGCGAAATAGTTTTTCGCATTGTACTGTGTGGGGGGGGGGGGGTTGTGGGTTCTAATCTCTAGTTGCATGATTAGATATAATTTCCTACAAGACTATTTTTATTTGTAGGTTTTATGCAATGCAGAGATATACGGAACATGACGACGACGAAAGAAATCCGCCGAGTGTGTCATGATAAGAGCAGCAAAACGAAGCAGTCTTAATAGGCATTGCATTCTATTTAGCCTATAAGATTCTAATCATCTAGGTGCTATGCTTTTGCTTTCATAGATGTCTTACGTTGTTCTTATGCCTGCACTCCCGCTTTTGTACTCTTTTCCCAACGGTTCTTTTCTTCTTTTCTACATTTACTATAAGCTGTGTGGCTCATGCCACACCTTATTGATTACATTTGTGGAATGCTTATAGGCCCTCAAGTTGGAATAAAATGAAACCTGACATTTGTCACGCTGTATTAAAAAAAACAAAAAAACTTGGGAGACTCTTATGCTTCGCCTTTAAAGAGATGAATGCGATAGCGATACTCTGTTCCTAGTGCATACTTCAAACACTTACTGTATAAAATCTTTGCAAACTTGCTATGCACCAACATCGTGGCGTTAAGGGTGCAGTAACGTGTGTGTTTTTTGTAGTGGGCGACTGGCTTTAAACTATGAAAACATTATGGTAATCCTATGTTATGATGCCTGATGGCAATGTACGCTTGTACCATGCATTACTAAAGCAATATTTTATGCTGTATTGTGAACCATGTATACAGGACGCGTGTGTTTGTAAAGCATGAGAGTTACCTTCACTGCATTTCCAAGCAGAGCAAATTATTTTCACTGTATTCACAAGCAGAAGCATGGCTATGTGGTAGAACACCCACTTGCCACACAAGCAACCCGGGTTCATTTCCTACTCAGACCCAGAATTTTTTTATTTATTTTATTTGCATCTTTCTCGTTTTTTTGGTCATGCAAAGACGATTTTTTGTTCAAAACCAACGACACCGACGCCAGAACTTCTGCGAAACGAGCTCTTTAACCCTATCACAGTAATACTTTATTACCTGTAATATTACAATCAATATTACCTGCAAGTAAAATAAATTATTTGACTAGTACGTCAAAATTAGTACATACGTGGCATTCCAGAAAGGTTGCTCTTAAAAGTGTCCCTGCAATGTCACACAGTAAGAGGCCTCGAGATATTTCACAGCAGAGTCAACTAATTGTGAGTTTTCTCGGTAAGCTCGGTAAGCCAGAAGACACGGGAGGCAATGCCTTTTTTCATTGGCATATTTTGTGCTATTATTGAAGAGTCTTTTTTTTTTATATAAACTATCTTTTTCTCTATAATTTCTGCACTGTAGTCTTTCTGTGGCGGCTTCATCTGCTTTTTCTTCTGTTCCTCGAAATACATGAATCTCACGTAATTGGCACAACATGAAAAAAGAACCTGGAGGGTGCTCAAACTTTGTCTTGAAGAGTTCAATGCGACATCATTATCAAGCCCCGTTTAAATGACCTTCTAGTTCGCTTGCCATGCTTCGCTTCTCTGAAGACAGCTCAATTGTGCTGCGAGGAAAGAAACGTCCGTGCACATGACATTGGCTGCTGTAAACTCTTTTAGGGCAGCTATTGCAATTGCAAAGAACCCACTGTGTGTCTACGACAGGTGCACCTGGATAGCCGCATAATTAGTCCAGATGCTGTGGCAGATGATGAGTTATAGCTCAGCCTTTTGTAATGGATTGGCCATCGTCGAGCACCTCCTCGTTACACAGTTGACACGGTGCGATGTCTGGTGCGATTCTACACTTCAACACGCAACAATGTACACCAGCCCATGACTGTATATGGTATTTCACAAAGCAGTTTCAAACACGGTTGTGGCTTTGCGGTAGAACGGCTGACTGCTACAAGAAGTAACCGTGTTCAATCCAGCTCGAACCCTATTTGTTCTTTGCATGTGCCGTATTTACTCGTGTAATCCTCGAACTTGCACGATTCTCGCACCTCCAGCGTTGCCCAACAAAAATAGCATTTTTTTTGTCCGCGAGTAATTATCGCACACCAGAAAATCGCAACAATAAAGTCGTCTGTTTTATCAAACCACTGATGAGGATAGTGCACGACAGCCAGGTGCCATCTCTTAGGCATTATGCGTACTATCAACGCACAAAGCCCCAATCCAAGCCAAGCCAAAGTGGCAAGTGTGCGCTGAGGCCTGTTAGTGTACATTTGTGTTCATTCTGTGGTTACGCTATGGGGAGATACGGAAGCTACACGGCTGCTTTCAAGTTGAAAGTGACTGATCATGCAACGGTAACAGAGCTGCTGGTAGGTCCTTTGGAGCCGACGAGTATTGTGTTCGCTACTGGCGACAGCAGCACGGGCAGATGAAAGCCACCAAGACGCGCTGGGCTTTCTGTGTGTCTAAGACTGGGATGGATGGGAAAAACTTATTCGCGAGATGGTAACTGCAGACGATTCCGTTCCGATGGCCATCAGGCCAAGGTTGACGTACGCTAACCTTTTGCAGGCTCTCGTTCAGTGACAAGCGCTAACGCTACGCCTACAAACTTTGTGTACGGCAATTGAAAACTCTCTATTTGCTTGCAGCTCTTGTGTCTAAAATAAATCTTGTTTTGTGTTGCACCTGTGGTTTTATTGTTAAAATAAGTCTTCATTAGTGCTTCTCGAAGGGTTTAGTTAGTTGCAGAGTGAGAATCCTGATTTGTGGCCACTTCGTTTCTTTCACCCTCGCTCCATAGAGTTTTCGGGAAGAATTTTCCTTGGATAATTTTCGCACCCCCCAACTCTTCATCAGTCTTCAGCAAAAAAAAAAAAAAAAAGCGAGGATTTTGCGAAATACGGTATCTAGATTTATTGCTCACAACTAATGCCGCCGACACTGACAACACATTTCCTGCGACACGGAGTCATGAGTTATAGAAGCGCTAAGAAATCATCACATTTTGCTTACCCTGACTGCTGGGCTTCCATTGTAGATGGAATGATCTCTTCTTCAAGACTTGGATCATGCTAGAAAAGAAGGAGAAAAAGAATTCATATTTTAACCATCTCACTCATTCAACAGCGTCTAATGGTGTGCCCGTCCACCTTTTAGACTTCAATTACATCTGCAATAATCGACTCTCCAGGAAAGCACAAAATGTGCACAAAACTCGCTGCTCAACTCGAATCGTATTTCAATGCCGACTCGCAACCCTGTTGCAAGGTCGCGAAGTCAATGTCAGTGGTGCTTGAGAGCGCACGGGGTTAGCTCTTGTTTACCTTAAAAATGACTCAGAGCTGCACTGCTAAGGATGGACATTATAACAATGTGGACTAGATAACGATCCTCTAGGTTCGTACAATGAAGGTCAGTGAAGCCTTGCCACCAGTGCTGCTGGTTGAGGAAGTAATCGGCACGTTCGATTCAGTAAGTAAGTAATTAAATACTAACTTATAAGTGTCAGCTCAAAAAGCAACAAACAAATACAAATGAGCAAAAGCAATGATTCAAGCCAAGCTTTAAAAAATGAGGTCAGGCACTACCTAAGCCATGCTTTGGAATGCACTGGCTGCAAGCTTCCTTTGCCGATGCTACAACCACTTAGCACGCAAACGGAAAAAGTTACGAAGGATACGTTTATCTGCAGTGGCAGCCATCTCCACTGACATAACGAAGTCGGTTCGCGAAGCTTGATGTCCGCAAGAAGTGTCAGGGTTATAAGGCGGTCCAGTGAAACTTTGACCTAGCGACATTTTTTTATGTAAACCTAAATCTACCCATGGGCATGAGTGTTCTCGCACTTCACCCTGGTCGAAATGCGGGCATCGCAACCCATAACTGAACCGACAACCTCGCGTTCATAAGCAGGACACCACAGCTGGCAAGTTATGCAAAACGACAACATGACCGTTGTCTAGAAGCGGAGCGGAGATGTTTATCGGTTCAGCGACGTCTCACCGGTATTAGATCGGACTGGAGCAGGTCCTTGCGAAGGGCGCTAGCTCGGAGTGCGCACAGTGCCAACAGGGACTGCAGAAGGGCAAGCACTTCGCTCGCATCCTTGGTCTTCTTGTGCTCTCGCGGTTGTCCAGCGTCGCACTCGTCCTCGCACGTGGGCGTGGACTCTTGTATCGTGTTCAGGGCTTTTAGCCGTGGTAGGAACCGATGTAACTGGTCTTGCAGCACCTGAAAAAAACACACAGAAGGGAGTGTAGGTTGACTACAGTGCACATTAGATTCAAAGTGACAACAGACTCAGAAATAACCTTCAACTGAAGATTCAATAATGTATGGATGCAACACAGAAAGTGATCACTTCGAGGCCTCCCTCAATGACAATCAGTTTCAGAAAGAAAGCTGCAAACAAGGGTAAGTCAAGCATGTACCGAACACCTGTGTGCAATGTCAGCATTTGAGGGAGAGTTGAAACTCTACGACCTGCTAGCCATGCGAATTTAAAATGAAGTTTGCACTGATAAACGAGCTCTTTCAGAACTCGTATTTCTCGATTTCTCTGCAAGAATGAGCTGATTCTGAGCTGTGTCAAGCAAACAGGTATTCACACTAACAGTCTTCAGTTGCCTGGTGAAGTAAGCCTCAGTTCCCAATGCTTTGTCAACACTGACCTATTCTTTTGCTAACAGGGAGCCTTCTGACTGCATAAGCCCGGCACTCCAAAAGTATTTGCAACAATCTCAACGTTAGTTAGAACCATCGGCTGTAATTAAGGTGTGGCAAGAGGGCTAACCAGGATCTGGCGGTAACGGGCCACCAGGAGCCGTGCTGGAAGGTTGGCATCCTTATCCCGACCCTTGAGCCATTTCCTAGTGGCGATTATCCACAGGGCCAGCTGTTGGAGGGCGCTACTGTAGTGCGGACAGTGCAGCAATGCCCATCGCAGACGCTCCTGGTAGTTCCACGCGTTCTGGCATACTGTGTCCCACCGTGCAGCAGCAGCCTGTAAAGACCACATAAGGTGCTTGTGGTAGACTAAACCAGATGTTGTTTTACGGCACTCGCAGAGTCCAATTCAACTTTAGAACTTTGACTAATACCCCTGTCACACGAGAAAGTTTGATGTCATTTTAGTCTAATGACATTCGGCACGTCGTATGACATTAGGAGATGTGTGCTGCTACACAGGAAGATATAATGTCATTTGTAAATGATGGCAATCCTGTTGTCGCTAAGATGGGACTAAACAAAAACATTCGCAGCGTGTGTAAGAAATTTATTACCTATACTAAAGGTCAGAAAAAATGTTTCCACATGAATGAAATTGAAGATGAAAGGATAATATGCAGTTTTTTAACTATCCAAATAAAAGCTCGTAGCTCATACAAAGCCGAGGCGAGACTGGAACCACCATCACTCTTAAAGTCATGTGATAAACGTTCAATATGGCTGACATGGCGGAGTGCGAGGAAGCCACTGCAACTTCTCGTGCCGTTCGGATAAGAAGCGTAAACCTTCGCGTTGCGTTTGGCACGTCTCAGCTCTTCTAAGTGGTCCACCCATAATCTTATCACAGTGAAAGTTTTGGCTTCTATCCAATGGACCCTTTTTTCCGACGCAGGCTGCATGCTGCTATCCACCTACGTTGACGACATGGGAGACGTGGGTTCTGCGAGTCAGCTGTGAGATACCTGACAGATCCGAGGCTAGCGTAAACACTGAGCACACAGCTGACATGACCAACATGGCCTGCAACGCTTTTGAGAATGTCGCTGTGAACGAGAATATTCAAATCTTTTTTAACGGCTTAGTTGAATTGTATGCAAATAAATTAAACAATACTTAAAAATAAAGCCATATTTACACTTGTTATGATTTATTAACTCTTTCATATATAATCTGTTCACAGCCCTCTTCTGGCGACAGTACATTTTTGCGACGAAAGCTTGTTTGAATGAGTTCGGCTAGCTCAATCGTTCTCCGAAGTCATTTTCTTTGAATGACATTAGACGTCCCCGTGTGACAGCCAACTAATGTCTTCAAATGTAAATGTCATTGGGTGCAAATGACATTAAACTTTCTCGTGTAAGAGGGGTATAATACATGTGACTGCTCAAGATAAACACATTATGTTGCTATGAATCTTGTCACTAAAAGTAACACTGGTTCTGATTAAGTGTTCCCAGGTCTAATACAACACCAATGACACCAATTGAAAATGGCAGAAATAAAAGTATGTGAATTATATTGCCCTGAATTGTTGCATTACAATCCGACAGCACTGCCCATCACTGAAGAAATCAGCATGCACAAAAGTTTACAAATGCAGCTGAGCCACCTAGGGAACTTTTGATGGCTTCTCACAATGGTTCAACATAGATGACACTCGACGTATCCAGACTCGACCGGAGTTATCACAAGCACGATACGTAACGATGAAATTTGCCCATCAGCTAGAACTCTACAATCGCAGTATCAAGCAAATCTAGGCATGAAAGTTCATACCTTGAGCCTTTTCTGTAGATGAGAATCTCTGATCTTTTGTCCTTGAAGCCAGTCCAGGAGGAACTTGTATCTGCGGCACTCGTCAAGGAAGTCCTGGAAAGGCAAGGTTTTCACAGGAATATTAATACCATTTCTTGGAAGGCTGTAATGTGAAGAATCAAGAGAATTTGGCAAAAACTTATTTAATTAACACCATTAATAATAGCTGCAAACCACCAGAAGCTGTCCAAGACAAGTGGGTAGTTTCATTCTTCAGTTTTTTTTTTCCTGGCCTTAAATTTTATGGCTATCATCTTGTGCAGGAACTAACAGCACCCCTGCCGGAACATTAACTGCAATAGTGCGTAGTTTTTCTTTAGCTATGTCTTTTTGCCAAGTCACAGCAGCCTTTTTAGGGGGCTCATTTTTCAAGTGTTTAAGTTTAAAGGCACAATCTAGGAACTCCACAGTGAAGGAGTACTTACTTGCATAATACCTGTGTTGACTAGTGCTAGTTGACTGATGGCTCTTATAAAAATGTGACAAACTAACACATGTGCACAGCTGAGCCAATTCTTTACTTTATTAAATACTTTAAACACAATGAATATCACCACAAATTTTCATTATTTCTTATGGAGCAGGGGGGACACTTGGTTTGTTTTTGTGACAGATCAAAAGCTGGTGATTGGTCACTCTCAAAGGCACAGGCACAAGTTCTCTGTAAAATGGAGAGACAAAAATGGGGACACATCACGCGAAAAAGGAAACTTAGAAAAACGAATGGAGACGTTACTTACGCTATGCGAGTTGACAAGTGCGGTCAGTCCTTCGAGGTCTTCCGGTATCTTGTCCGGTCCAAACCGGTCGGGCACTGTTTCGAGCCACTTTTCCAGACGCAGTAGTGCCTCCTCCACATCCGAAACGTCAGGCTTCTCTTCTTGTTCTTGTTCAAAGGCTTTCTCAGGAGCCACGGTTTCCAGCAAATCCGTCAGCTCGTCTAAAAGCAAACAAGAAAAAAAACCCCATAAAGTACATAAAGTACAGTTAAAGTAGGCAGAGATGCAAGTTCATGCTTCTGCTCCCGATACTGTTCAACATGCGAAGGCTAAGTAAAAAGAATTTTAAAGAAAATCTGCATACACACCACCAGCTTCGCTACTCTCCGATGAGCTCCGCATACGTCTGAGACGCTGGTCATTGCTGATGTTGCTCACGAGCACATTTACAACTTGGTGCTGCAAATAAGTATGTAAAAACCAAATTTAGAGCTTTGCATGTTATGATGGTGCATACTTAGCTACCTGTGATCTTGTACTACCACTACCAATGCACTAATGAAGACTGGGCTGCCCACTTCATTTCAAAACTACAGCATTTTCCTTGGTATAACAAAGTTAAAAAAGTGGTACTAGAGGTGTCGTTTATTTGTTTCCACACAGCTGGTTAAATAATATTACAAATATATTCAAATAGGTTAAATTCATTAGACCCAATAAGAGAGCAGCTGAAAAAGATCAACCAAATTTTCAGGCTCGCCAAGATATACAGGTTGGTTGTAATTGGCAAGAAATATTTTGACAAAACAGTGCACTAATATAATGCTGAAAATATCATAAATTTAGAGCTAAAGGGTAGAATGTCAGAGTTTCATAGTGAAGGCTGTACATGGCTAGGAGAAACGAAAAACCATCCGGCAGCGATGTCATCAGCAGTCTAAATTTACTGTGTTATCAGTTAAGTCGTTCGCAACGTCGTACACAAGTGCGCGCGCCAGTGGCTGCACTGCGAGTGAGCTCGGGATGTCAAACATGGCTAAGTTTAAGTTAACGGCGCTGCAGCGTCAATGTGCCGATTGCAGAAGCGCGTTCACTGTGACGTCTGTGACTGCCTGTGGTTTGAGAACAACCACTGTGATTAACGCTTTGCAAAATGCGTCTAATCACTCATTACACTCTTCTATGACCGTGATCATACAAGGCACTATGTGCGGCTTGTCAAATAAACACTGGTAAACCCCAAGCCACATATGTGTCTAACCTCAATAAGAAGCACAAACATGAAACCAATAATTGTGAAAGGCTTCAGTGCAGCATTCGGTTGAACCCACTGCTAAACACCGTACAAATGGTTAACCAGCTTTCGCTGGTTAACCATTTGTACGGAGTGCTTGGGCGGCGATTTTTTCATGAATGTCTTGAGGCACAGTATGCAGAGCAGGGATCCCACAAAAATTATAAAATGTTTTTTTCTGCATGACATGCCAATATCTAAATGAATTCTCAGTGGTCACTCACAAGATTCTGTGAAGCGGCTCCGGCGATTGGAAGCTTGTCCGGTGTAACTTCGCCGTGCTCGCTGGCAACAGTAGGAATGATGGATGAGGAAGCGGCGTCTGCGAGAGAAAAAAATATAATAAATGAAATTATTTAGTCCAACTATAGTTGCGGTTTATATTAAAGCACTCGTGTTCCTGTCATTCTTTTTCTGCACAGCTATTTGGTACCCTTTATTACACTGATGATTCAATATAACAAACATTGAATAATAAATTATAACAAAGTAATTGAAGAAAAGTCTAGTCATAGATACAGTGTTAAAAATAAATGCTTATACAGTGGAATCTTAAAGCAACAAATAAATAAAAAACCAACCTATTTCTTTCTTCTTTTTTAGGCATTCGCTCTATGAGCCCTGTATGTAGTAGATCAAGCGTAATAACTCGCACAGGCTATTGCCCTAGGGGTTTCAAATTACAGGACACAGCTGTCTATAAACTTGGAAGTTAAGAACTTTTAGCGATAGCAAAATAGACTTGCTTAGAATATAGTCACTAGAAGGTTCCACGAAAGTTCCCTGATGCACTTACCAGTTGGTTGCTGACTTTGCTCTAAGTCTTCTTGAATTGGTTTCTCGCCCTGCAAACAAGCCACCATTGGGGACATTAAAGCATTTGCTCTGCAAAAGTGGCAGCTCAGATGAAAACTGGTTTTGACACATCCTAAGGCAACATTGCCGGCTCTATTTTAAATGAGCCTGCAACTATAATCAGCAATAAAAGGAATATCAAAAACGAGATGGTCTGCTCATTGAAAAGTGCGCAGTGAAATAATCAACGGAAGCGTAAAATACATGTGCTAAGTTGTATGCTGCAGTCGTTCCATGCGGGTGGGATGCGTCGATGACTGCCAATAAAGGTTGATGCGACTCGAATCTTGACGGTGCAATAAAAATGGACAAAATACAGCATATCTCTAAAGCTAGTATATGTATGCAAACCATTTCTCGTCTCGCCTGCAGACTCCCCCTTGGAGTCTGTCTTAAAGTAGTGCATATAGTGTGTGCCAATATTGCATTAACGTTAGGCTAATACAGTCCGCAGGAGGAAAACCATGTTCAAAATTTTGCTTCTTACATTCCGTGCTAAACTAGAAACTTCGTGCCAAAACTGAACAAATATGACTAGCATGGCCTACTTTTCCATGTTTGTTTTTCGTAAACGAATAAACAAACAAACAAATAAAAAATCGGACATGAAATTGCACCAACATAGTACATTGCACTACTAAACAAAGATGTTTTTGGGCAAGTCAATTCATTGTTGATCCAAATGGTTAGGATGCACCCATACAAAGAGCATCGCTTGCGTGAGTCGCAAGTGACACTCTTTCCCGTTTTTTTAGATTCTTTGCATTGTTATTGGGCAGACTCTGGATTATGGCGACTGTCGGTGACACAACACCAGACGCAGAAGCAATGAACCCTTTTTTCTGGTTGTAAAGCTAACATTTTTGCGATGCATTTAGCAGCCCAAGTACTGTCGGCTAGTCACTTCTGCAAACAGTGCATGCAAGCGCAGTTCATATTCGCTATGATGCAGAAACCATAAACTCTCCCATCTTTAACATAAATATGCGTAATAGACAAGCCCTGGCACTTGTAACTAAAACCTCCTCTCCAACATGAAGCACAACGGGTGCTACCGTCAGTTGGGCAAGTGTGCAATGCAGAGAAGCACACTTGCAGACAATGAAAAGTGTCTATTGCTCCGGATTTCTGGATTCACTGACCTCATCCAGTGACCCGGTTCCAACCAGGGCACCTGCACGCTGGCACAGGTCTTGCCAGTAAAGATGCAGCTCTCCCAGTGCTGGACCCGTGGCGATGCCGGCCAGCAGTAGGCCGAACCGCTCTACCTCCGAGCCGGTGGCTCTCAGCTCGTTGAACCGGGTGCTGCCTTGAAGAAGCTCCTGTCGCAGTGCCTGCAATGCAGCGCGTGCTTCCGTTAAAATTTTGTCAGAAGTAACAACACCTCCAGTCACCATCACATGACACTGCCTCATGTCCACGACAGGAAGAAGGCCGCCCCCCATGTCCTTTAAACCACCCTGTCCTGTGCAATCCGATCCCATTACAGTAAGCTCTCGTCAAAAGAACCCAAAGGGACCAGGAAAATATCTTCAGTTAACAGGAATTCCATTTGCTGAGACACGAGCATGGGTGCAGAACAAAAGCCCAAAACCAATCGTATAAAAGAAAGTTGTTTTCTTTTCAGGCGATATATGTTGTATACTGAGAGTTTACAGCGGATGCCTGCGAATTTCTAAATTTAGCTGCTTCACTTGACCCTTGGCCATCACCTTTCACTCTTCCCATCTGGTGGCACCTGTTACGATCGACACTCTCACTCCCCATATTTTCCTTGTTATTTCAGTATGTGTCCAGCTCAAGTCCACTTCTTTCCTTTACGATGTCTTAAGATCATCCGCTGTCCGCTTGTTCTCTGACTCACTCAAATATCTTCCCATTTCTTAGTGCTACACCCATCATTTCTCGTTCTATTGCATCCTGTGTGGTCTGTAGCTTCTTTTCGAGTCTCTCTGTCATTCTTAAGGTTTCTGTGCCACATGTTAGGACTGGCAAGATGCAGTGGTTGTGTACTTTTGTTTTAGTGACAGTGACAAGTTACCGGTAATAAGTTGAAAATGCCTACCGTACACCCACCAACCCATCCTTATTCTTCGGTGGATTTCCTTACGTGAACAGCAGGACGTACCTCTGGGTCGTCGTCCTCCGTGGCGTGTCCCATCTCAAGCCTGCTGACGACCAAGTCCTTCTCGGTCAGCCACAGCACGAGCTGCTCCCGCAGGGCGTCCCACAGCTCCCAGGTGTGCGTCGCTTCGCGGTAGCGTTCCAGGGATTCTTGCACTGAGCGCCTCCTCGCGAGCCAGTCGTCGTGCAACTGATCGATGTACGCACCGAGGCTCTCATCTACCGGACAGTCCTGAACTAGGCCCTCGTACCGGCGGCTGACGTTGTTCAGCGGGACTTCTATTTCTTGAACTTCGGGCAGCAGGCGCTGTGTGTGAAAACATGAGGAACATGTAAAACATTAGCGTGCACTATCACCGTTTCATTGAATAAATTAATTTCTCTATTTATTCCCCACTCTGGTCACATAATCTGTGTGACACATACTACTACTACTACTACTACTGCGACGACGACAACAATGATGAGAATGGTAAAGGATAGATAAAGACGAGTTCGCTGCAAAACCACCTAAAATCGCAATTTTGTCAATAAGTAAGCTCAACGAAGTCCTTACCTCCAGTGTTTCAACTGTTTGCAAAAGGCTTTCCAGGTCGCCACCAAAGGTACGGCCGAGGGTCTCCTCCGCGGTCCGCACGTTTGCGAGCCTGCCGGCCAACTGCTTGACTTCCTCCCATAAGGTGTTCGCAGCACTTAATCTGCAGAGACAAGACAAAAGGATGAGTGCGGCCGACGCAAGTCTGATAGACAAGTACGCATGTCTGTGCTGACTAGGGGCCTGTTGGCTGATTGCCAACGCATCTGTCTCGACGAATCCTCAAACGTATACGAGCGCATATCACGGTGTGTTCCCATCGCTAGACACAAAGGCTTCGCTCTTCATGGCGTATGATAAGAAGAGTGATAAGCATTTTGGTTTGTTTCTCAGATAAGACTGTATTTCTGGCGATAGACTACTGTTGTGGGCTGCTGTAGTAAATAAATGCTGATTGATATGAGGGGTTTAAACGTCCCAAAACCACCACCGTAGTAAATAAATGTAATGATGTCAAGGATGTCCAGATGTATTGGGTTGCATGCGTGCAGACAAGCCACTCGCTTTTCTGTGCACGTATTGCAAAAGTACTACATCCAGACAAAAGCAGGCGACATACGTGTTTGATTACAGTTCCCTTCATGTGTTGACATGGTCAACAGACATCTGCGTCATTCTGGACGTAAAGCCCGTGAAAACAGTTGAAAAAAGTGGCTGATCTAAGTTGTAAGCAGAGATTGTAGGTAAGCATCTTCACCTCTATCTGCTGCTTCAATAAAATCTTTTAAAACTAGCTTAGCGTAACCAAGCCGATCACTTAAAAAATGTCTTGTGACCTAAATTTGCTGCAATCTTATTGGATACACCTGGTAGCTCAACACTGCACGTGACACAATGTAAGTAGGCATCATGCCCCTTTTCATAGCCTGAGAGTGCCCTGAAGCAACCACGGTCCTGCGTTGCTCTAGACAGATTTCTATCGTAGAGGTTCCCCCTTTGTAACGTGCAAGACTAATTGACCCACAGTATTTTATTTATTTATTTATTTATTTTAGTACCTTCAGGGCCCAAAAGAGTTACAGAAGGGAGTGGGTAAGAGTATACATAATAAGAAAAATAAGACTAAGAAAAATGCTGCTAAGAGTAAACATCGCATTCAACAGCAGCCTTAAAAGCAGTGACATCGGTCGATTGGGCAATACAGGAGGGTTCCATTCGTTCGAGGTAGCGTGTCTATACATCCGCATCCTTACACACAGCATGAAATGAACAAGACACCAGAAGATTAAACGATGAAACCCGAGTGCCGACTGACGACTAAAGGCTTATTCACACAAACCATGCATATCTAGATAAAATTGTGTACACCAGTACAGCTAGCCTTTCAATTGCACTGGCTCAAAGACCACAGTAAGCATGATAAAAGATAGAAGTGAACAAAAGATCAGTGATACATGTCCCAGAAATAGTTCTTTTCCCAGCTGTGCAAAGCAATTAATGTCATTTTAAACTTTCTGTGCAAAGCAATTAATGTCATTTTAAACTTTCTGTACATTATATGTGTGGTTTGTATGAATGAAGCTTTGGTCATGAATGAGTGCTTGTGTTTCATTGTTTCTTTTTCTAGTGTCTTGTTATTTTTTCAGGGATGAGTGTGAAGATATATTTCTTCGGCGATGAGTGTAAAAATAGAGAGTGATTGACGCACCTGTTTCGGCGTTCCTCGATGAGCGGCACCAAGGCCTGCCAGCGCCTCTCGGCATCGGCCAGCTGTTCCTTAGCCTTGTCCTGATCGGCAGCAGGTACTAGGTCGTGGTAGTGCTTGAGCAAATCGCTGAGAGTAGTCTGTAACTGCTTCAGTGGTTCGCCGTGTTCAGTCACATCTTGCTTCTTATCCTGAGAGTGCAGAGAGAAAACAAAGAGATGCGGTAACAGTGCTTGAAAGGTCGGCGTGAGGACAATGCCTGCTCCAAAGGGACACTAAAGGCAAATATTAGGTCGATGTTGATTGCCGAAATAGCGGTCCAGAAACCTTGTAGTGCTACTTTTGTGCCAAGGAAGTGCTTATTTTGAAATAAAATCCCGTTTCAGTGGTCCGCATTTCGTTAGCACACTTCAAATTACCCGCCTGAAAGTGGCCGCCTCATGCCACTGTTGCCGTGCGCAATGTTGCCCGGCTTACACCAGTAGCCGCAGAGCGAAAATGGCGGAAGCCACAGTAGCAAGAACAGTCACTGAAAAATTTACTACCACGGCCTCAGAGATGGCTGGCGTGGTTGGTTCAACTGAGCGTCGTTAGATGGCACGCCTGTTCAGTTTAGGCAGGCAAAAATTGTACTTTTGAACCACTCGTGGCATTCCCTGTAATAGGGTCCGGAGGTTTTTTTTTTCCATGAATCAAACAGAATTTAACAGAAAGCATTTTATTACATCTCGATCTTGATGCGCAGAAGGTTCTTTGATTAGTGCAGCTAGTTCAATTACTAGTGATTATTTGTAGGCAGTTAGTCTGATATCATCGGGATCATTTTGCAAATGTCCTACTTGTGACGCATGTATTCTCAAGCATTTACATTAATTTCTCGGTAAGTAGGGCACTTCTGTTGATAATATGGTCATTTTAGACATTGTCATACAATGAGCTTCCACTCTGACTTAAACTGTTATTTGACTTTAGTGTCCCTTTAACCTATATATGCTTAAACCTAGGAAAGTTAACAAAAATATTTTATTTCCCGCAAATTATTGCTTCTATGACCTCAGAAAACAGAATAAGGCTTTTATTAATAAAACGAAACTATTTCGAACAATGGTTTTGGAGTCGTCCTATATGTAGGACACCAATGTTTAACACACCGCAAACAAAGAAACATTAGCGCCTATCACTGTCATACGAAAGTTATTGACACCCAACAACTGATGAACAATTGACAAAAATATCAGCAGCATCGAGAAAAACTTGACTCTGTTTTAGTTATATTTTCTTTCGCTATATGGCGCTCAGCTACACGCACGCGAAATAGCCATTTTGTGACTGAAAGCACGTGACTATTTGTAGCCCAGCGATCACCTAGACTTGCATGTGACGAGGACAGGGCGTCATAAACACATCTTAGGTGGCGCTAGCTTTTTCAGAGAAAAAAACGTTCCAAGTTACACTGAAAAGTTTCAGCGTCCTACATGTAGGACACTGGGCATAGGCATATATGGGTCAACCGCAGCACTGCTGATGTCTACCACAAACTTTCTAAAGCCGATTTCATTAATGGTTCCGTTTTCTTTCACTTCTATTGAGCAGAAGAGAAATATCTGCAGTGGCTAGAGCTATAATTAGCTAAACAACAATGGCAACAACAAAACACAGGCCCGCGTGTAAAGTGTAGTAGAGTCACATAGAAAGCTATAAGAGCGGCCTTTTAGAGCCTTTGCAAAACACTCATTGGGTAACTACTGCAAGCACACTTGCTTGATACCCACTAGGGCATTATTATTAAGATTTTTTGTTAGAAGGCCGGGATTTGCTAAGCTATTTTTCGTCCTTCTTCTGAGAGTGGTGGTATCCGCTAAACACTTGCAAGGAATTTTGTGCCAATTGTTCATGCAGTGGCTGACGAGGAATTGTGCCTGAAGTGGGTATGCGCCACCATTGATAGGTGAACAAGAACAAGCTTTTGTAATGGGTTGGAGCATTGGACGACCCACTCATTACACTACTTGCCCTGTGCGATGACAGGTTGTTCTTTTGCCGTTTTAAAACGCTTTATAAGTCGTATTAACGCGATTGCTTTACCGACATCAAGTCTGCCTAAGGCAAGTTTGCCAGCAAGTCCGAAGCACTGGCGTAGCTCAGTGGTAGAATACTGTGCTGGCACCCAGCGGACCCGGCTTCGAGCCCCACTGTGTCATTGGCGGTAGTTTTTTTTGTCTAATTTTATGCAATGTGGTTACGGACACCGGCGGCGGCGGCAGCAGCTGACAGCTACCATGACACGTGACCCGAGTTGTGACCTCATAACAGCTTTCGCTGTAATAGTTTGAAAAGAAGCAGACTATCACAAGATGTCCAAGCCATACCAAGTACAGTACTGAAGCTTCTGATGTAAAAAAAAGAAATTCACATGGGTGAGGGTTCACTTTACTACTACTACTACTATTATTAAAACACCGTGGCAACCATTCTTGGTCCCACACAGAAAATCATGACTGCTAGAATGAGTTGCAAACAGTTCTAGTGTGCTTGCATGTTACAAAGCCATAGAAGGAAGTTTTCGAATATCCTTCAATGTCCACTGTGAAGAAATAACAAGGCTGGTCTGACAACACTCAAAAACCCGGTTGATTTCACTTTGCAAAATGATAAGTTTGTGATTCTTTGTTTAACCTATCAAAGACGCAGAACACTTTTCTAACGACAACCTTTCCGTGAGCTAAGCGAACTTCTAGGGACCTTTAGTTTTTAAAGAGAACCTCCTATGTAAAGAAGTGTACGCAAGTGCCAAAACAAAAGTTTTCTCAACTGGAAGATGCCTTACAGTCTTCAACTTATTCAGAAAAACTTTACACTCTTTTACGATGGTGCGGATCACAGATCACACGAAAGTGCGCCAGCAAAATGACAGCACTCACATTCAGCAGCTTCAGTTCACGCTGCGTCTCTGCTGGTACGATGGCAGAGGTGAGATATGCTTCCATATTGTCGAGCCAGAGGATGAACTCTTCTAGCCTCACGTCGAACTCTTGCTGCAGGCCAGCCATGCCGTTCAGCCTCAATGTGCTGTAAAATTAAATATGACGAAACTCTTTTGAGTGCTTGCAGAATTATGCCTATACCAATTGAAAATGTGTCCTAAAACATAGACATCTTATTCTGGTTTAATGCAAAAAAAGAAAAAAAAAATCCCATAAAAACAGAAGACATGAGGGGAACCAACACCAGTTCCTGTTATTCTGCAACATTTCTTTGTGTTAAACTATAAGACTTTCACATATGTATTTCTTTAACACAAATTTTGTATGGTCTACGAAATTTACGACATAAAATTTCATACCATTGCAGTCAGTCAACATGTAACAGCTTTCATGCACTGAATTTATCTTCCAGAGTACTAAACATGCATCCAGTGAAACCTCATTAATACGTCCCCGTTTTGTACCGATTTCCCGGGACCAATGTTCGCGATATCGCTTTTACGTGAAACTGCTTGATGTTTTTAGTGAATTTGTACTGTACACTTTGTCGCACAGTATGTTTCTTTCCCACATTTTTTCAATAACATATGAACAAGGTTCAACTGTACTCACGACATTACTATGTCCGATTAACGTTGACACAAAGCCCACGATGTTCAGGCCTCGCTCACCTTTGCTGCAGCGTCCCTTCAGTCTCATTGCACGACTGCTTGACGGCGGCGAGCTGGCTGTCCAATGCTTTCCTGATGTCCTCGTCCAAGAGCAAAGTTCCAATAGACGCACCGTAACGCAGCAGTCCATCGCAGTCGTCCTTGTGCCTCTGCGATTCCTGACAGGAGCACGAAACTCGTGAACATGTGAGTTTGGAAACAACCGTAACGGCGCCAAAAAGATTACTACATAGAATGTAAAAACACAGAAAGACGTGCCACAAGCAACTTGACTAGCAACTTGGAGTAATACAGCGCGACAGACGAAGACGGGAGACACAGACAGGTGCAGACGAGCGCCGATTTACAACTGAGTTAATCTGCACTGCAACCAGGCTTTTTATGTGAAATACCTGGCCCCTCTTGCGATGTTTATATTCACATGCGACTGCACTTTTATCAGCTCTGAGAGTAATGTACAAAGATGATTTCTTGCTAAATGGATACATTTCTGCATGTAAGCTAATGTACAGCTTCAGGAGAAATGCACTCAAAATTATGTATAACAAAGTCAAACCTGTCACCAAAATACTTCGTCGTATATGAAAATTTATTACAAACATATCTTTGTAGTGCTGTATTTTTAATTTACTTAGTTATAACCAAATATTCGTTATATCTGGGTTTGTTATATGTAGGTTTGAGTGTATAGCTTGGTTTTATTAAAACAAGGAGTTCGCACGAAATGGCTTTTGCAAAGCCAGCTGAGAAAAGTTTTTCTTTTTGTTTTTTGCCATGTCAATTAGAACAATAGCATGTTCAGAGGTTCTCTACACCCGAGTACTCTACAATCCTGCAGTTTTCCAATTGGTCATATTAACAGTGATACACAAAAGCAGGTTTGTAGTCAGGAATTTTTATTGTTTTAGGGCGGGGGGCACTTGTTCAAGGCCCTGAAAAACACCTATATTTGCTATTTGTCCTCGATAAAACACCCCTGTCAATCTGAACTTTTTTCCGGGGGGGGGGGGGGGGGAACCAGAGCACCTTCCCTGGCTGCAAGCCTGCACAGGAGCAACCCAAGCTAGCTCACCTCATTCTCTTGTTTTAGCTGCTCAGCAGCGTTGCCACTCGGTTTAGACACGGCCTTCTCGTCTTCCCGTTTCTTCCGCCGGTCCAGCTCTTCGCAGCAACTGGCGAACTGTTCCACGCACTTCTTCGCCTGTTCTTTTTGGTCCGGAGAGAATTTCCCACATTCCAACAATGCCTTGGCAGCCTTGCTGGTGTGCTCTATGTGACTTCTCACAGCCTCCGATTCTGTGGCGACACAGTCTGACGTAACCTGCTCCAGGCACTTGCTCGACGCATTTATGGCTTGGTTCAGCTGGTCTAACTTTTCCTGCAGGAGAGTTTGACGCCCAAAGAACTGCTCATTGTTACTGCATATTTCAACGCTTGGCAGTGCCATGACGGCACACAGCAATAACTGGGAATCGGGTCTGTGGCCACGAATGGTGCAAGATATATATAGTTTAGGTGGAGATATTTTTTTGCTTGCTTGCAAAGAGTATTCAACCAGGTAAAGTAACAATGGTGTCTGTCTGTTGGTACGGCTATGGCAGCAGATATCTATCGGCGGGATGATGCAACTTCAACACAGAAAATGTTCTTTGTAGCCTTGCTATAGCAACTGACATGGTCAGTCGTAATTCCAGTATTCACCACACATTGGGTTTTTAGCTTACAAAAAAAGCAGCATGCGTTTCCAGCTTTAGTACTAGCGTGACATAGTCATTTTCGACAACTAGGAAATTCAGATCTTGAGTAACTGTCGATTGCCAATTAGTTGTTCGTTATTAGGATACAAATGTCTTTGCACCAGTTTATTAATTTCTTTTTTGTTTTGTTTTGTAAATGCATAGTGTTTTGTATGAACCTTCCGTACCGTAATTGTCTTCCGCTTTGTGCCTACTGCTGACATGTACGGATGGCAAGGCCCGTCAAGCGGCGTTAAATTCACTGCTTCCTTCTCCCTATCCCCAGTTTGTGAGTACAAGCTGAAATAAAGACCTTATTGATTGATTGCTATAGCAGCCTCTTTTGTCTTGAAGTTGTATCATCCTGCCGATAAATATCCACTGCCGTCAGCAGACTGACGGGTACGCGGTGTTGTTACCGTGTCTCGTTGATCTCGTCTCGCGAGTGTCTTTCCCTGAAAAGTATGTATCTTTCATAGTGCCCGTTGCATTGTGTTTGGTTGCGTAATGCCTAGGCACTAATGTTACACGGCAGATGATCCCGAGGTTAAATAATGTTTCAGAACGTACCTTGAACACCTGTTCCTGTGAGCTGGGCTGGTGCGAACTTGACGCAGCTGCCTCGACTCTTTGCAGAACATCCGCCATGTTAGCGTCTAGATTGCGCAGTTCTTGCTTCAGCGCGTCCCAGTGAGAACACCACCTCTCGAGCTGTTTCGTCCTCGCTTCGAGTGCCTCAAGGCGACGAAGCGACTCGTGGGACTGCTTCGCAACTTCGTCCAGCCATGGTCCGGCCGGAGCGACGCGGACCAGATGTTCTTCATGGCTGTGCAGGGCTTCCCAGTGACGTCTCGCTATTTCCAATTGCTTTGCCAGTTGCTGAGAAAAAAAAAAGAAAGACTCAGAGTATGTAAAGAGCTGTTGTTATAGAAGCACTAGCATACTTAATTATGCAGATCTGTATTCAAGATTGCTACGATGCAACAATAGAAGAAGGAATGGTGAAGAATGGAGCATTTACTATCCTGGATTCTTCACCCTACATGATAACCATGGGGTCTGTAGATATAAAGCTGTGCAATAACTGTGGCAAGCTTATCAAACCCAACAGAACAGGTATTTATTATATTGCAAGTAATTTAAACAGGCATGTGAGTTAAGGTACAAAATGAAAATTGGCAGGCAATGTAAACATATTGAATCGAGATTGTATGATGACGGTATAACTGTTATGATTCCTGACACCAGACATTTGGCAAAACCATCTGGCATTATATAGCCAAAGTTTGCCAATATATATGTCCAACACTAGTCCCTTTAATCAGTGATGGTAGCACATGAGTAAATTTGGCACTTGGAAACATTCATTGTACTCCTTTACAAAATGTTCGTAGGAGCCTAGCATGATTGTCTTCAAAGTTTAGCACAGCTGAAAGTATGAGAACATCAACGACCATGGGTGAAGAAATAAACGAAAATATTTAGGAGCAAGTTGCAATGGAAATTCTTTATTAATAGTTTGTTCCAGGTAGTAGTCTAAATTTAAATAAGTTATGGGGGGATGCTATTTGGGCCTAGTTGATTTGTAATGGCTAGCCCAATTGGAGTTAATCGTAACCGATTGGAAAAAAAAAAACATTTCCCAATATTTCCCAACTGGGAAGTTCAACTGGTTTAAATATGATTCAATCATAACCAATTGCAACCAAAAATTTTCCAATTGGTGCCATTTATTGGTCCACTTCATTCCAATTGGCAAATCCAATATTGGTTTGTCCTGTGACCCAATCGTTACCAATAGGAAGTAAAGAGATGGCAATTGGTTCCCATTTGTTCTAATTGATTCCTGCATGAAAATCCGATAGGATTCAATTGTTTTTTTTTTCTCGTTTTTTTTTAGACTGGGTAAACTTTTTTTTTCCTAATAAGCCTCAAAGTTCATATATATATGATCGAAATGTGCGTCCTAATTTCTCGGAAGTTGCATCCGTTGTAAGAATAGCGGACTGGGCTTGTTGGTTTAACATATTTGCAGCTTAAGGCGCGAAAACGACACGGACGAAGAGAGACAGTACACACACACGGAGCGCCCGTGTGTGTGTACTGTCTCTCTTCGTCCGTGTCGTTTTCGCGCCTTAAGCTGCAAATTTGCATCCGTTGCGTGAAACACGCTAAGAGCTTTTTTTTTTCCTAGCCGTTTCACACACGTAAGGCAATGACGTCACGTGCACGTCAACACGATGCCTGCAAAAACGCGGTGGTACTTCGCCGCAAAGCTTCACCATTGGCTTGACACAACTCGACGGTACATTGTACTACCAGCCGTGACAGAAAAAAACAAACAAACAAAATCTTCTCCTTAAAAGAAAGAGGGGGGGGGGGGAAGAGGACACCCTTCCGAACGCAATTAACGGACCCGCGATAGCGAGAGACCGCGCCGATCTGTTCCACAAAAGCATGGATAGAAAAACCCTACGACCACAAGGCTCCAAACTCGAAAAGGAACGCCGCGGTCAGCGTCTTGCGTTTCACAGATGAACTCGTCTACCGAAATCTAACTCAGGTGAGTGAATCTGCACGTTCACGATCGCAGCAACAACTGCATCGGCTTACTAGCACGCCGCGATACAGGCACCCCGCGGCGCAGCTAGATAGTTCGGTGCATCAAACGAAAACGAAATTTGCATCGAGTACACTTCCCAGTCAAAAAAAGTGAATGGGTCCAACTGGTCATACCAGTTCCCATGAATTGGTCCCAAATGGCATTAATTGGAAGCCAACTGGAATGCTGAACTTCAATAGGAAAGACCAATTGGACCTTATAGTTCCAATTGGCCAGTCCAATTGGTTCACCGCTGACCATTTGATCTCCAATTGGAATGCTTGTTAGTCCAATTGGCTGCCCACATTCCAATTGGAAAACCATTGGAACAGTGCATTCCAATTGGCCTCCCAATTGGCATCCCAAATGGTGTGCTTGTTGGTCCAATTGGTTGTACAACTACAATTTGGGAGAGTGTTGGAACATTGTTCTTTCAATTAAAATTTGTTTCATATACATAAAAGTTGATATTTGTTATTTACATGGCAACTTAATTTGCTATAGGCCAGGGCAGAATTCCAGGCTCAAGTAATTGTCATGATTCTTATATATTGGAGTCAATTGAGCCATGTATACATATTTTGAATTGAAAACTTCATTGTAGTGTGCATTAGGTTATGTTCTTCAGTCATTTATGTTCCTTATAAGCAACTTTTTTTTCTAGAGCTGTGGCGTTTACTATAAGGTACATTTTAACTCAAAACAGTGGGACAGTTATAGCATTAACAGTTAACATGAGTTTGAATATGGTACAATTAAAAATGCAGCTAGTTCTGCTGGTTTGTGACCTATAGCTGTGCTCATAGAAGCAGTACTTTCAGTCTCCTGCTGGGTGATTGCCTGGACAAAAATAGGCCCATTGCTACATGCAAGCTTCATCACTTGTTTTTGTCATTTTTTTTTCTTGGATATTTTGTGTAGACGAAGTAATAGTCACTGATGTGGGTATAAAATTAAAGGTTGAAGTTGGTGCACGAAAGCTGTAGTGCAAACGGAGTGTAAAAATCCAGCACAGCACACATGTTGTGGGAATTAGTCATATGCGAAGCAGTCAGCATGCGTCAGCCAATGCTGGAAATTTCATTTTGAGCCTTCAGCGTTACGAGGTGGATAGACATCTTTGTCCCAATTGATTAGCTCTGTGCATATTGTAGACTTTCCAGGCACATCAAGTACACTGACGCGTGAAAGGTAGCTTATGGCACAACATAACATCAGTGTTCCCATTGGAGCTTGCACTTCAGTTATATTACCATGAAGTGCATGCTATCGAGTGATGATGTGCTTATATACAGACAAGTGCAACCCTTGAATATTGCTCGCACAGTCCTAAGTGCACATATGTAAAGCTTATCACATTGATATAAAACAGGAAAGCCAACTCTGCAACTACTTTGTCCTGACAAGGTATTTTTCATTGTACAAGGTATCTTTCTAAAGTAGTTTGAAGCAGTGACTGAGTGGAGGCTGCCATGCAGAATTCCAGGGTTTGATTCTGGCTTCACCCACGATTTTTATTTTTTGCTGCCATCTGGATATTTCGCGACATGAGCTCATTCACACTGTTGTGTTAAGATTTCCAATGTCTGGGCTGATATAGCCTGTGAATCACTCACAGCTAGTGGTGTGTGAATAGTGAAATTTCATCTTTGATTCTAATGACGCCGAATAGTGGCCAAAATATAGAATACGTAACATTTTATTGAAAATTGAAAGGAAGAACAAATTAATGAAGTCAGCTTGTATCCTCAAGCACATAACGCAGTAAGTGAATGCTGCCGAATGACAACAAATTGTCCTATAATAATACTGTTGTCCTTCATCGTTCCAAGTGCTTCATGCCCAAAAATGGCAGCATTTCTTGCCTAATTATAGGTCTTGATATATCTTAATGGATAGACTATGCAACCTCTTTCTGCACAGTAGTGCTTTTGAAATTAATGAAATCACAGCAGTATAACCTTGGTGCTGTTTGTACAACAGAAGACAACCACGCATTTCCGAGAAAAGCTCGTGGCATTCCACCACAATATGTTTATTAAAATGGGCAAAAATACAACAAGTCCAGGCATAAGAACACTCAAACAAAACACAAAAATAATAATATGCATGAAATATATGTACATATGTAAAAAATAATACACAAATGCACAAAATTTGCACATAGTTGCATCTGAAATTAAATTACAAATTAACAGTGCACATAAAATTTCACAAGGTATAGCAACTTGAATGACATATGCCACTCTGACAAAACTGAGTGCCGAATACCCACTGCACACTGGCCATGACGTGCTTGCATTTAGGCAACTCAGACAATTTTAAGAGGTCAATGGATTTCCGTAAAATTTGCTGGTTAGCAATTTCCTTTACGTGACCTGCAGTTTCTGAGCATGCATGATCTTAGTTTTTCCTACGTTTAATTTAGTTTCAATAAAGTTCAATTGTTAGGCGGCGCTCATACTGTGTCCTCGTCCTGCGAGATGTCGTGTTCGCACCAAGTTTCAATGTACGGTCACTCACACCAGTGTCACTAGAGCTGCAATGCTGCTCATGTGCACAAACCCAGCTTGTAGTGCTATTATTTCACATAATGATGCCACAGAAGCATGGCTTTCATTATATATGTATCAAGAGTACAATGAGCAGCCACTGTACCTGCTTATGCAAACAAATGCACCAGTTGTTTTGCACTATCACTAGCACTCTTCCAAGGAAAATGAGCAAATGGAGAAAGCAGTGCCCCATAATCTCTTAGTGATTACACCTATGGCTTACTCAAAAAGGGCTAAAACACCTAAAATAGCTTGCTTAATTTTGAATGGCCTGGCAAAACAGAAAGAATTTACGATCGAAAACGATACATTCGAGAGTACACAAGAATATGTATACCTAGGACAACTACTCATGGGAGAACCTAACCACAAAAAAGAAATTCACTGAAGAATAAGAATGGGCTGGAGCACATTCGTCAGGCACTCTCAAATAATGTCAGGAAATCTGCCACTATCATTAAAGAGAAAAGTATACAACCATGGCATACTGCCAATTCGGATGTATGGTGATAAACCATGGAGAATAATGAAACAGCTAGAGCGAAAGCTGAGGACCACGCAGCGTGCAATGAAACGTAGAATGGTAGGAATAACAATGAGAGACCGGAGGATGGTAGCATGGCTAAGAGAACAGACAGGAGTTGCAGATGTCCTAGCTGACATCAAGCGAAAAAAATGGACCTGGGCTGGTCTTGTAATGGGCTGGAGCACATTCGTCAGGC